CAGCGCGAAGGGCCCCGCTGGAAGCGGGGGGCGCGGCTGGCCCGCCGAGCGTGGCGCAGCTGTGGCAGTGCTTCCAGCTCGCCGAACGCCAGGGGTGGGTCCCCGCAGGTAAGCAAGTGACTCGCTGAGCTGGGCTCGGTCCCCGCCCGCAGTGGCCAGGTGACGGGACCTAGCTGGCGTGCCCTCAGGCAGGTGTGGTTTGCTCGGTAGGCTCTCGGTGCCACTTCCGCACCAAAGAGGGGAGCGGGGTGGATGAGCCGCCTCCTGGTGTGAGCTCCTGAGAGAGACCACACTGGGGTGCTCTAGCTTCGCAGCACTTGATCACTGGACTTGTTTACGGCAGAAAACGTTTGGGTTGTCCCACACACCCACTCCCCAAGTTTCGAGAAGCCTCGGGTACTGTCCGGCTCTTATATTCTTTACATTGTATTTGTACTTTGTGATTCAGGACTGGAGGAGAAACGGGATAGTGAGCTTGCGATGCGGCTTTATTTTGACTTCGTGTTACTCAGTTTGCAAGAAGGGTGCGACTTGTAATAGGACTGTTATTTAAACAAGGACACGAGGGCTTACGTAGGCAGTAAATGTATCGTGGAGATTAAGTGTGCAGGCTTGGAAGGCAAGAGTGCCTGGGTTTGAGTCCACCTATTAATTGGAAACTTGGGCAAGTTGCTTAACTTCTCTAAGCGTAGTTTCTGCATGTGAAATGGGGATGAGGAGAGTTCGGCCTTTTAGGAATGCAGTGAAGATTAAATGGGTAGTACCTAATGTACAGCACGTCATCCACGGTAAACGGTGTTTTCCTTTATTGTAATCTGATGAGCATTTCCAAAGTGGTCATCGCCGGAAAACCTACACGTTTTATTTTTCCCGAGCTGTTGCTAGAAATGCTGGCAGATTCCATTGGAACAGTTTTGGTAGATTAGATCCCACCGGAAAAGGTTTATTACTTTTCTTTCATACTAGGGGCATTCTGATGTAATTATCTACGTTGTTCCAAGTCAAATGCACTCTCGGATGTTACACAAACCTCAGAATCTTGAAAGCTGTTCTAAAAGAGGGGTGAAAAAAGGAAGCTCCTTTAGGGAGAAGGTAGCTTCATTCTGAGCACCAAGTTCAGGTCTATCTGTTTAAATGCAATTCATATCACGTTATTCAGAACTTGTAAACTGTGCTGTTTGGGGTATATGCTTATTTGTACTATTATTACAAGACTAGGTAAATCAGAGCACCCAAAATATATAAACAAGCATAGTCGGAACCATTGCTTGCCATATAAGATCTCAGAATGAAAGGGGATCTGAAAAATCAGACCGGCTGGTCTTTACATATAAGGATGAGGCCAAAGACACAGAAGCAATAATCCACAGAGCGTAGACTAGAATTCAACTCTGCAACTCAACACATGAAAGCAAAAGATGATATTATTTTTTGTTTTGATGATAGTTACTATTTTTATTTTTGACAGTTTTATGGTAGTGTGAATGGTTTTTCTCATAGCAGTATCCTGGTTGGTAGCTTAATTGCATGATTCATAATCATTCTTCAGCACCTTTGATTTAAATCACAAGTCTCAGAGTTGCTACATCAATTATTGCTTTGAGAGCAAGATGATTGTCTTCTCAAGCTTTGTACAAACATGTTCTAACAGTGCTTTGGCTTTGTATTAAAAGGCACCCCCCCCTTTTTTTTTTACATGAGGAATGTAAACGGCCAATATAAATGAATTGACCTACTATGTGGTTTGTTAGCACTGTGATACTGGTGAGGTTTTCTTGATTGGGTAGAATAGTATCTGGAAGTAGATCCCAAGAAAACAGGACTGGGTCCTGAAAATTTATGTTGCACTGTGGCTGCCCACTTCAAAATTATTGTAGAGTGAATTTTGCAATGTTTTAGTTGCTGGCTTCCCCAGCTCTTTGCATAGCTCACTCCCTCACCTCTGGGTATTTGTTCAGATGTTACTGTCATATTTAATGTCTCATATAAACCTACAATTCCTGTGCTATATAGTTATCGCTTATTTACTTACTCATTATGTCAGCTACTGAAGGGTAAGTTCCATGTGGGTAAGGATGCTTGCCGGTTAATGTTCACTTCTGTATCCCGAGTGCCTGGAAACCAGGCCTGGCACACCACGTGTATCAGATGTGTAGATCTGATGCAAACATTTCCAGCAAGGCTTGTAATTATTTAAGCCAGTTCATTATCATTTTACTCTGTTCTCTTCCTTGCCACTTTTTGTTATTTCACCTGGTTAGCCAGGAATGGAACTTTGAGGTAATGTTAATTCCTTCTTTTACCTTGCACCCTGCATACAAATAGCTACCTAAGATTTACTTTATCTTCCTTTTTTATTTTTGCAAACCCACTATTTCTGTTGTTTCTAAGTTCCTATTTTGTCATGTCTCTCCATTTTATTCTGTCTTTTATACCTGTAGCTCTAAGTTTCCTTTTCAAATGTCTTTGTATCCTGCAGAATGAAATCTGCACTGAGAAGCCTGGCATTCACATTTCTGTATGTGATCTCAAACTTACTTTTCCCACCTGTATCTCCTATAGATTAAAAAAAAGAGAGAGAATAAAGTGATTTTCAGACTGGCCCCATAGCCTAGTGGTTAGGGTAGCAGGATCAAGTCTCAGACCCAGTATCTTGAGAAACACTCTAAGCTTGTGTGCATGCTAGCCCCAAATCCCAAAAGGATGGAGAGATGGAGGAGAAGGGATTACAGTGTGACCATTCCCCACAGGAGCACTCCCTCCCTGTTCCTCTGTCTCTGGTGAGCACACATACCCTCTAGCAAATCCCCCACCCCCCAAAAAAGTGATAAACCTCATCAGAAAGAAAAGCCAAATAAACAAAAGTAAAAAGAAAAAAGTGGTTTCCAACATAGACTTGTAAATATGAAAGTAAAATAAGGTTTTTATGATAATAACCAATAAAATCACAAGGTGGCTATTGCTTCATGACAGTTTCTGTTTTAATTGAGTTGGTCTTTTCTTCCACGTGGACAGACATTCAGATGCTGGACTAATGGCAGTTCCCTATTTGTACCAAGGACTTCTGCTGCCATTCTTATTTTGAACGTCCATCCTTCAAACCTCCCTCACAT